AGGGTGGAAAGCTGGTTGTTTACATACGGATTAAGAAGTGGACAGCGTCGACCATAAGTGATGTGGTGCATTGGGCATAGTTTAGTACAGTGTCACAGTAATTGCAGTTAACAATATTCCACTTTTTTACAAAGTGATACAGAATCAGTCTTAGTGATATTTTCATGGAAATTCTGGCAAACAATTGCTCCAGAAGGTTAAGGCTGACTTGACTTAGCAACCTGCAACAGAATAAAAAATACTGACACACTTCAGAGCTGTGCAAATGCATAGTTTCAGTGTTAACACGCACACGGATTATATTCCTTCACTTAGTTAATCCTCAAGACAAGTCTGCGTTTTGTTTTGCACACATCCCATTTCATTTTCATTAAGGGCATCTCTTCCTTGGTCAGTCACGTGCTTTGCTTTTCAACTGGTTTTTGAGAATTATTCTTTTTTTTTAGGGTATTAGTTTGTTGGTTAAGTTGTCAGTACCTCCAACTCTTGGAAAATGAAACAGCAGAGCCTGTTTTATTTACAGAAGAGAATCAGAGCTACATGGGTCATGTAGAATGAAATGAAACAAGTATCAGAAACAGTTTATAAAAATGGCACATTTATTGCTACAGAACGGTCATGTACATGACTTCATCGAATAACTACAGATGAAAACAGGTAATGGCCTAGACCAGGCTGGGTTTGTTTTTGTCTTGAAAGAGCTCCAGCACTCAACCTGTTTGGACACGTCTACAAATCAGAAATACACCAAAACATGAAAAAATCGAGGCACTCAGCCACACATTGAAAACAAGGTGTAACTGTTTTATCTTTTTTTTAAACGTTTTCCCTTTTTTTCTTTTTTTAACAATTTTTTAAGTTTTTTTTTTAATGCTGCAGCTATGTGTACAGTCGCAAAAAATTTCCCCGCTGCGACCTACAACTAAAAAAAAAATTAAAAAATAATAAAAAAAACCCAAAACAAACAAAAAAAAGCTACCATACAGCTTCATCTCAGTAACACATGGTAAAATAACATCTTTTAAATAGTAAAATAAAGTAACAAACTTTTACTCATAATGATTCCAAAAATCTACAAAGAAGAAATATTCAGAATCTGACAATTTTTTTTGTAATATTCATGGTATAAAAGGATTGCTCCTGCGAAAAATAAGCCAAATATATTTTTTTATTTTTAAATTTAGGGTATTTTTTTTCTCCTACTAGGGTGTACTACACTCTATTTTATAGCAAAAAGAGCACTAGACAGACAAAGCTTTATAACAAAAAGCCAGGCACTGATACATGGTAAATCTCTGCTTTTTTTTTCTTTTTTTTCTTATCTTCACTTAATTGCATCACAAGTAACAAGAATGAAAAAGGCCACAGTTCATATATTTCACCATTACATATGTCTATAATACTTGAAATGAGTATGGCAAAACAGCACTGCACAAAGGTGAGTCCACTTCAAGTCCCGTGAGAAATAGCATGTCTCTAAAGAAAATAAAAAAGAACCAAAGAAAAAGACAGAGGCCTGAAGGCCTTGGTGCCCCATTGGGTTGGAATTCATCATATTCCATCTTGACTTTGTTTGTTTCCAGTCAGCCAGCAGACTAAATGTTTGTGCTTGTTTAATGGTGAGCATGGTTTCATTCCTGACTCAAGTTCACTTTTGCACACAGAGCATATCCTGCCTGTTAGATGCAAAGACGAAAAATCCTCTTACACCCTCCCCCCAAGTCTTATTTCAACTCCCGCCCCAGCCCACCCACCCCCAACCCTTTGTCAAAATAAAGATCATAAATGAAAACAAAAAGGAAAAACGAGGGGAAAAGTGAAAACAAAGCAAAACAAAACAACCACCCAAAAAAAAAAAGGAATCGGAAGACTGAATCAGAACAAGTTGCATCACTGGGTGGACAGAGAACTGTATCAACGTTAGTGTTCCTTGCTGCTACAGAGAAGACAAATGGTAAAAAGTTCTAGATGAACACTCCCTATTCTGCATATTCATAAATTACTTGAATGTGGAGGTGGATCAACTATTCTATTCCAAGGTGTCTTTAAAGTCCACGTGTCTTAAACAGATCCTCAGCTTAAATATCATCATAGAAAAGTGTGGTCTGGACCCTTGTGAACTTAACTGTCTGCTACGAAATTTCATTCAACCACCCACTGCAGGAGACCAATAGCTTACCTGGGCTTGATAATTACAGATGACAGTGGGGGTGGGGAGAAATACACTAGAAAGAATGCCCTCCTTTTCCCCTTTTTAATGGTGAGTACAACCCAATTAATACAGAGGGGTATGGGTCAAGTTTCTCCACCAAGTAAAACAAGTCGAGAGCAGCTTTTGGTGGGTTGTTAAAGTTTGTTTCTCCCCCCACCTTATTTCCAAAGGGAATTCAACAATGGGGGCATTACATTACAGAGTAATGAATACATCAAAGGTGGTCAGCTTTTAATCTGAGCAAGACCAAAATTCAAAGCACCAATTAAAAAAAAGAATCATCATTAAGTGACAATACATTTTTTTTTGCTATGTTGACAGATTTGAAAAACTTTAGTTCAACTCTGTAAAGCACCTTCTTTTTTTTTTTTTAACAAATATCGAAAGTGCCTATCTGAAAACGTACATTAATTCAGGGAGGGTTTTCAGGTTCCTAAGGAGTAAACACCAAATGTTTTCCTGCACGTTTATCCTGAATCCATCGGAGTACACCCACTTCCTCGATGGTATCGGTTCTCGGGACACCAACCATGGCAGACTATACAAAGCAGGGGCACTATGCACCACTAAGGAAGAGATGTATGCATACCCAGGGAACAAGTACACAAAGGTTTCCTTCACCCAGGAAGGAAGGAACGTAAACACATATCTTCCAGGCCCGTCTCTGAGCTCCTTTCACAGAAAAGCCCCAAATGACTTTTTCAGCAAGTTTGATTTCTGCTCTTTTCCAAAGGTATTTTAATCCACCTCCACATTTTAGGAACTTACCAACAAAAAGAAATCAAAATATTTTCGTTTTTCTTGCTACTGAACATATTTACAATTTTCAACACACACTCACACACACATACACACACACTCAAAATGGTTATGGGTTTGCAAACGATGACCACGTGGTAACTATCTTATTTGTTCTTACATTTTTAGAAATTAATAGAAAAATTTCAGATTCTTGCAGCTCACTATTTCTTTTAAATGACTTTTTTAAACAGTTTTTTTTAAAAAAACCCAACAAAAAACCAAAAGCTGATACAATGTATTAAAACACATAACAAGAGTCTACATGTAAAAATATAACTTTTACATACACAATTTCAAAATAATGATACGTTTGTTTGCCATTTGTTGCATAAAATTTACAAATGTATTTCCTTACTATGTAACTGGCAAAGCAGGAGAACAGATGGAACATTTAGACCATTTCGATGGATTTATGGCATTTTACTCAGTGCTGATAGGTGGAAAAACTACTTGAACAGGGATTTTTTTTTTCTTAATACATGCCAAGATTGTGTGGCTGTAAAAATAGAAAAGGCATTAGAGACAAAAGGATGCTGACAGATACTTAACCAGGAGCACTATTTGTTTACTGCACTATACACCAAAGTCAATCATTATAAAGATTCACAATGGAAGTTGGTTCAGTTGTGCCCAGACATCAAAGCTAGCTATCTGATGAGTTGCTGTGCCATAGCTTGATCTATGTTTCTATCAAATATGTTAAGTATAAACTTCATTCATACTGGCCAGAGAAATACTGCACTAGCCCTCCTCACAAAGTGCAACTAAATGCTTTAGGACTTATAAGGCTTGTTAGAATGCTGCATGATGATTGAATATTGGCATTTTTCAAAGGGAGGAGGAGGCAGTTAAGTCATCTACATTTTAGTAAACCCATTTTGAAGGAAAAAAAAATCAAGAAAGCAACAAAATCAATCAGCTCTGTCACACTACTTGCAATTTTCTCATTTGATAGTTTTTGAACTTTTTTTGTTTTTGTGGTTTTTTTTTGTTTTTTTTTTCCAAAAATCTGACCATGTATTCAGAAACGCCTCACTGCACACTACTCCGGCTACACATGTAGGTAACACTCTAATCATCTTGTTAAATCACAGCCACTTTGATTATGTTATGTTTCCGATGATATAAACATTGGAAGGCACAGTGGTAACATTTTAGCATTCTAACCTTGTACCTCTGAAAATCCCAGAATAGGGTCACAAACGCAACATTACAATTAGACAAACTCTCTCTTTTTTTTTTTTTGTGTGTGTGTGTGTTTTTGTGTTTTTTTTTCATGTCTTGGTAATGCTGCTTGTAATATCTACACATGATGTGACTTTTAAGTCCTGTGTTCCCAAAAGACTGGAGAAACAACTTTCTACTTATTTATGAATGAGAAGCAACATCAGTGTTAGCATTTCACCCTGTAGCACCCCTCCAAGAAGCCGAGTTGGTACTACAAGTTAGGATAACCAGGGAAAGGACAGAAATAAGACCCCAACAAAACAAAACTGGAAAAGAGAAAAAATAAAGAAAAAGAAAAAAGGGGGAGGGGAAAGAAATCCGTATTTACAGTAAAATCTTTCTTTTAAAAAAGTTAATCAGTACTATTTTTTTACAGGAGAAAAAAGTCTGAAACAAATGAACAAAAGCTTACCATAGTCACTAAATTTTTCATATATATTTATATATATATTTATATATATATTTGTCATAGGTCTATAAGATCCATCTGTTCTTCCTACCCTAAGGAATGGCTAATGGCATCACTTTGTTGTCGCCAGGACGTTTGCTGGTTTTGTGACTAGGGCAGCCGCGCTCCCCTATGTGATAATCCGGAATTATAGAAACACTAGCTGACTTGAATACCAACAAAAACGTTCATGTCGTTTTCTTCAGAAGTACACTTTTTTTTCATTATTGCAAGTTTACAATTTTTTTAAATTAAATATTTTTTTCAGACTTACAAATTAATTATATTTTCTTTTCTTTTATTTTTTTTTTCTCCAAAAGAAGTTTAGGCACAAATGCATTGTTCCACAGTGTGGAGAGATTGCCATTCAGTCTCCGGGCTGGGCCGCAGCCAGCACTTACTGCTTTGCGTGTTCTGAGTGATATGTTAAAGAGAGTGTCACCGCCCCGCAAGGTGCACTTTTTCTTTCCTCTTTTTTTTGTCTGTTTTTTCTGTTTTCTGATAATTGGGAATGCTGAAACCTCTTGCGTCTGTGATTCATAACTACTCAGACTTGTCTTATATTACAAAAAAAGGGGTAAGGAGAAGTGTTTATGTGGGTTTAAGATAATACAGCTGTTAAGGAAGTGGTCTCTTGTTTTAATGAAGCAATGTGGCAACTTGGACCTGAGAAGGGAAAGAGAGAGGCAAAGGAATTAAAAAGGAATAAATACATTTACAACAGAACACTCCCTCTGCCCTTTTTTGGGGGGGTGGGGCGGTGTTGGCTGTTTTTTAACTCTTTTTTTTTTCCTCCCAAGAAAAATCATCCTCTAATTTGGGAACAACTTGACTCCTATGTAGCTGAGGTCATGGGGAGCATTACAGCCGATTACTGCGGGAAGGATGGAAACGAACTTGCCCTTTCACATCTGTCCCATGTGATTCGATGCGTCGCCCATCCCGGGGTGCGGGCCTGCCAATGAGAGAGGGGGCGGCTCCGAGGACACCTTCTCTTCCTCCCTCCTTTTCAGACACGCGGCTTTCGGATTCAGATTCCTTTCTGCAAGGAAGAAAGCACAGGGCTGGTACTGGACGCCAGCAAAGCTCTTAGGGACATGCCAGACCCACCCCCCCCACCTTTAGTTTTCCCCCAACACAACTAAAGACACAGCTGTTCAACGTTTAACGAGGTTTTTACTGTTAGCAAAGAGGAAACACCACCGCATGACAGTGAAGTCATGAGAGTCTGATGGCACCTACAGCTATGTCATGACATTATTCGTCTAATAAAAAAGACGAAGAAGTCTTCCTGCTGGTGCAAAGGCTAAACATTCAGCTGCTAACTGAAAGGCTGGTGGTTCAAATACACCCCGTGGCTCTGGGGTAGAAAGACTCGGCCTGTGACAATGGGCTTACACACACAGAGAGTCACTGTTCACAGGATCACTGAGTGGTAATTAATGTGACTATACCAACAACAACGGCTCTGCTTTCTGTAAAGGCTGTAGTCTAGGATCTTAAGGGGGTGGCTCTGAATGAGCTATGGTTGTCTAGTGGTAAGGAGCTGTGCTGCCAACCGGAAGACATATGGTTCGAATCCACTAGTTGCTCCACACACAGGAGAAAGATAGGTAATCTCCTCACGTGCGGTATACTGCTTCTGAAAACCTCCTGGAGGGTCAGCTGTGAATTGGTTCTGACTCAATGGTACACAACCACAACACAACAAGGTGGAAAGGGAACATGGACATCTAGTAGGCAATGAATTGTGTTGCCAACTCAGAGGCAGGTGGTTTGAAACCACTAGCTGCTCTGCAGGGCAAAGATGGGCAATTTCCTCTCTTGGTATTTAAGAGAATACCAAGAGATCGTGCTGGAGGGTGAGCTGGGAGTCGGTTCCAAATCCACCAGGAGGAGCAAGCTGAAAGGACAGCACTTGACAGTTCCCAGGGAATCTGGTAAATGGGTGCAGGGAGGCTGCTGTGGCGGTGACCCTGATGAAGGCTGGTTACCCTGTGCTGTCCGGGCTGGGCACTGACCTCGCACTTGCTGCTCCAGGCTGAGGATGACGGCCACAGCCTGGTGGAGGATGAGGAGCTTGGTCTGGGGCTTGTCACTCTTGAGGTGCAGCTGCACCATGCGGCCGAGCTCCTTGAAGGCCTCGTTGATGTCGCGGACACGCAGGCGCTCGCGGGCGTTGTTGGCCATCCTCCGCTCCTTCTCCCGCTCGGCCTTCTGCTCTGGCGTCAGGTCCTCGTCGTCGTTATTGCTGCGAGACAAAAGCGACGCGCCATTTTCTAATGGTGTGGGGAGACACTGGGCGTCGCCAACCACTTCTGTCTCCTCCCAGGCCCCGCGTGGAAGCTTCCCATCCGGGCGGGCCCTCCCACCCCTGGAGCTGGGCCTGCTTTCACGCTGGGCCGTGCACAAATAAGACATGATGCTTCTCCCAGACTCTAAACCCAAGCCAGACAGGAGAGGCTGGTCCTTAACGTGAGGGCTCTATCCTCACGTGGGGGGCCAGAAGGAGAGGCAGCATTTGCTGACCATACTCTCTGCACAAAGGTGTCAGTTTAACCTACCGTGCATATAACCCCACCTCAGAAGACCTCTGGGTGTAAACTTAAAAACAACCCAAACTGTCACTTGGTGGTGGCTGAAACCTGAGTAAAACAAGGAACGCAGAGGGCAAATCTGGACAACTTCAAATAACCAGGTCAAAATACACACAAGGCAGCTTTACAGCAGGAAGAAGAGCCCCTCTCTCGGGAGAGGAAGGAAGGCGTTCAGATGAGCTGGCCAGACATTTGAATGGTCTGACCATGAACCAGCCCTGTCAGTCCATTCGTCCAGGGTCTAAGCTCCTCTGAACAACTTGCTCTCGATGGCCTTTAAGGGATGGATGTTCAGGATTTGAGAGGCTGAAGGAATCTGAGTTGTTGGATGTGAAAGGAAGAAGGCATACAAACTCCCAACTCCTACTGAGTCTAAGTGACCATGACCATGTCATTGTGGGTTGAAACAAAAACACTAAGCCGCTGTGAAAATGGAATTATTGCCACATTCATCAAAGGCTGGGTTGGACCTCATAGGTTCTGCAAAGGTCAGCTCACTCCCGCCCATTTCAGCTGCCGGAGAGACAAGTGAGAGGGAGACAGGCCGAGGAGTGGCCCAGCAAGCTTATCATCTAGGACGAGTTGATGGCATCGGGGTTTTGAATATTCTGAAGGGTATTATGCAAAGAGAGAAGAGAGGTAATTAATTGGTCGTTATTGTCTCAAGAAGGCTGAACAGAATGATGAAAACCTAGTGAATATTTTGATCTAATTAGAGCCAGAGAGCTCTATTGGCTGTTAGAGACATCAAAATTGAAATTACGTTTATTGAAAAGTAGCACACCCCCAATTATGACAAAACATATAAAAACTTTCACTCAAAGACTGGAGATGGAGGATACACAGCCCTGAAGGTTAACCTCAACCTGCAGATTCTAGAAATCGGAAATGTTGGCAGAATAAAGATTATGAATCATAACATTTCAGGGTCAGAGGGCAGTGAAGCTGTTTCCTAGTCCATTGTGTGCACAGTCAACGAATGTTGGCTAAAAACGGATGTTCTTCAAGCATCCATTCTGGAGAATATCTCTAGGTAATCTCCAAATTGCCCCAGTCAAAGAAATAAATGGAAGCAATTTGGGTTGCAAGTTCCTGTTGCCCAAAAGATTGCGTAAACAAGCCACGAACACTTGGATGATGGGGGTAAATTATAAGTGGAGGGTAACCGAAAAACTGTCTGACCAGGTTCCTCTCTCCGCAGCCTAAACTTCTTTCAAGCTGGGACCAAACGCATAGGTGGGAAACCCACCACTGGACTGAACCATGGCAGTAAAAGCCCTCTTTGCCTCTCATCAAGTCTGCCTCAGTTTCTGCTGATCTCTTTCCAGTCATGGTCTTTGCTGGGGTCAAGGCAACCAGGTCACAATGAATCCACTTCTACCTTCACTGCACCAAAATGATGCACCAGGTAAAATGAGAATGGAGCCAAGTCTCTCCCGACCCATCCTAAAGTGCTATTTTTATACATCAAACATTTGGCTGCTGTACCAGACACAAAGGGGCCCTGAGAGTGGGAACCTGTTATCCAAAGAGTTTTGGGCTAATAGCTAATTAGAATTGGCTGTTTGCTTAGAAATAAATTGGCTATGCAAATAAAATGGCTAAGATTTTAAAAGCACTGTCTACCACACAGATTTGGAGGCATAAGTAAATGTCACAAGGGTGACCTTTTAAAAGAAGGTCCTTAACAGCAAATTAAAATGTTGTTCAGAAACGTCAAGGAATCCATTAATATGCATAGGCAGTAAGTGATAGTTAAATTATCAAGAATCGACTGGACTAACATACAGCTATTATTAAGGAGGAAGAGACTCTCATTAGGATTTCTTGCTAAGAGAGGAAGGAATGCTATGAGGATGGTAGGAAGGGATAAGTTAGAAGCTGCTACCACTGTTGGACACTCAGGCAGTACATGTGACGAAGTTTACCTTGACAATCATAAAGGCAACAACAAAAAAAATACAAAAGTAGATGTTCTGAGCTACAACCAGAAGAGTTTCAGGCTTATAGAAAGGAAGGTGTAGTGACAGTTCAATTGATTTAATCTGCAAATCAAGATGACTAAAAAGAACTGAAGAACATGGGTTTCAGAGTTTGAAAAAGAACACCTTATTAGAACTAATATTCAAGGAATAGATCATAGAGACACCAGATATTTAAGAATACCAACCAGAAATGTTTTATAGCTGTAACACTTTCCTTAGAAAGGAGTACCCACGATGGAGAAAATTAGTAATTGAACTCTTCAAGATACCAACATTTAGGATAAAACCTGGGAAATCAGGATTTTCTCACATCTGTTGTAAACAAAGAATTACCATGTTCATATTATCAATTTACTTTTTATCATGACTGAAATTTTTTTAGCAATAATTTGAAAGAACATTTGGGTTCAAATTTGTCGAGTAAGACGACTTTTGACAAACAAATCATTTGTACTTGAATCATGCCCAATTGTTTTTGTACCATGTTGGAATTAGATTTGGGGCCAAATTTGGAAACGCAAAGACGTTCTGGGGCATCACCAGGGCACTGGCATCTTAAACGACACTCCCAGTACTTCCAGCAACAGCCCTTCGTTCTCTTTTCAGCAGTCAATTTACCTGCCAGGAAAAAACTGCTAAAAGTTTCTTCCTGTTCTGTTCACTTCATCAAAGTCCAATAAAGGAATTAAATGAAGCGACAGTATTATATACTGTTACCTAGATCTTGACCTAGTAATTGATTTGATATCCTTCTTGTCGTCATCTAATTTCTTGTCCTCGGAAGATTTCGTGTCCTGCAGGTTCTCGTCACCCTCGTCGTCAGATTTGATCTCCGAGCTGCCAGAGGAGACACTCTGTCCCTGGAGCCCTGGTGGCATGCCTGCGGAGACACAGAGGGACCTGGGTGACACGCTGGCTTCAGGCTTGCTGCACGCGCGCAGGCAGCCGAGGCCCTGGGGCTGCCAGCTCTCCCCAGCAGAGTGCGGCACCACACGCCTCCTGTCACTTCTCTCCTGCTCTCTGGTGAAGTTTCAAAACCGCACCTGCGAAACAAGTTTCCCCTGCATTGGCTCTGAGGTTAAATTCTATTTTGCAATCTTTTGGAGTAGATGGTAATTTCACTGTCTACAAAACATCAACTTAATTGCAATGAAAATCATAATCATGAAAATCACACACCTCAATGTTCTGATTAAGAACCCAAGTAAATATCAGCTATTATATTGAGTTTCTTCCATATGCAATGATTTAATAGAAAAATGTCCTTAAAATATAATTCCCAGGGAGTACGCTAAATATGTGCAGTCAAGGCTTCAATAGATATCCTAATGATATTCTGAAATTAGACTCCTCTTCTTCTCAAACTGTAATCAGCATTTACAAACGGTACATATGGAAGGCAGAGAGCTGCTCACTGAAGACACGGCTGGCTTTATCACTGGGAAACTTTCCGATCACAATGCATTTTAAAATACGCCCGCAATGGAGGCATTCTGTGTAGTCTAGAACCTTGTCACTCAAAACTTGGCCCGTGGGCCAGGAGCATTTTATCATCAGAGCTTGTTAGCAACGCAGATTGACTGGGCCCCACCCCAGACCTACAGAGTCAGAAAGATCCTTAAGTGATGCACACACATATTAAAGTATGATGATCCAGTACTATGCTTTATGCTGGACTGCTAATTCAAAGGTCTCTAGTTCAAATTCACCAGCTGCTACACAGGAGAAGGTCTCACATAAAGAATTATAGCTTCAAAAATTCAAAGGAGGGTCACCAGGAATTTGAACGGACTCAATATTAGTGGGTACACTGGGATAACGGACTAAGGGAAAATGAAATGGTCTTTAAAAGAAAGATCCAACTCAAGAGTATTCAACTGAAAAAAAAAAAAAAGACAAACACTGATTATAGGCTATATTATTAGGTTAAAGCTAATTTGCTTATTATAGCTGTTGAATTAGCCATTAATTTTAAGTTAAAAGTGAGGAAGCTGAGAATATGTTAGTTAATTTCCCCCTAGTTTCCAGGCCAAGCAGGGTATGGCATCTAGAACCCAGGTTTGCCCCCAACAGCATGAGTTCATGGGAGCCACAGAGGTGAGCAACCGTGACTGGTCTACATGGTGTAGGACAAATTTCTCAATCTAACTCCATTTTTAAAGTGTGACTATATTTCCATCAATGCTGAGGACAGAAACATTTTCCTTTCTTCCTTCCTATCCACTTGGATATGTCCTTTTCTGGTCATAAGTAAGTACATTGTTGCTGCTGTGTGAGTGAAATATGTCAGTAGCTAGAACGGGTTTTTCCTCTCTGAATCTGTGTCTCATTCCCTTGCTGAAACAGGACCAGGACTTAGGATGTTTGAGAAGGCAGCTTCTGAAGATATACAAATGAGCGGACCACGTCCTAAATTCCTTTCTCAGTTTTGTACCCACTTTTATTCTTGGTTTTCTACTAGTATTTTTTTAAAAGGGGGAATACCAAGGAAGCCTGGTCCCAGTCTCGGATCTCCTGTTGGCAAGTGAAGTCAGACCGCCCTTCCGAAGCCCACCTACCTCTGTAAGGATCCTGTGTTGGGTTCAGGTCGGGGGAAGTCGCAGACTGGACAGGCAGCTGTGGAACAGGAACCTGGTTTGGCACAAGAGAATGGCTGCCTCTTAGGGCCACGCCGTCTTCACGATGGGCCCCCACCTGCAAGAGCAAGAGGAACCACAGAGTTAACAGAAACCACGGGGTCCACCAGCTATTTTCTGGGGGTGAATGAAGAAAGACCTTCACAGAAACAATATTCCCGGCCGCCTTTCACTAGAGGGCGCTGGAGGACCACGCATGCACCTATAGTGACATGCAGAACACTTAGCACTCGGTGAGATGCTGCTGGTACATTCAGTGACAAATATGGCAGAGGAGCTCAGGCAGGTAAAACGTCAAACTGTCTCCCAGGGTGCTGCAGTGGAGCGCACTGATTCGTACCCATCTGTCTTCTATCATGTCCGCCAACAGATCTGACAATTATCTTAATGCCCATATGCTTAATTGTGGGCTTCTCAATTCCCCCATTGCTATCGGAAATCCTACAGGAATTTCAATTTGGCATTCGACTTTCATTTCAGGGGATAAGATTCTCAGGCCTGCCATTTCTCCCCCCCCCCCCATAATGCCAGCTAAGCCTCTGACAGCGGAAGCTCCAGCAGTATGGGACCCAGCCCTGGCTCGGCACAAATATAATAAAATGTCACCTGGCTTTCCAAAACTGGCAGCCCATTCCAAATTATTGTTTACTGTATTTCATCAGCTGCTGAGTTTCAAATCCGAAGGGGGACAGTTTCTGCCAATGCCACCACACCGGAAAATGTACCAATAAAGGTTTTATTAAACACACCAGTAATGCCATCATTGCCAGGCAAAGATGTTTGGCCATTATTCCATTTTCCCCTCCCACTATTTCGATGCAAGAAGGACTCCATATTGTAAACACTCTTTAGGCTTCCAAGAATAAAATGACAGAGAATGGCAGAAGTATGTGGCTTGAGGGGGAAAAAAATGTGGCTGAGATTTTTATTAACTCCTATCACCTATTCTGGACCCAGGGATGTGGAACTGGTAGCCCCGTGATCACACTTGCTGCCTTTGCAGCATATGCCATAGAGCAAAGCCATTAAGCATTTGTAAACCACAAGGACATGAAGAGCCCACAGTCTCCTTTATACTCCCAAGCTGGTGAGCAGTTCTTTTTCCTAAGCCTCATGCTCAGGTGAGCACTGATGGAGGACAATGAGACTAACACTATTTACTCCTGAATTTATAGCACTATGAATCCAAAAGCTTAATCTTGCCAATCTCAAATATAAAACCCCAAAGTGGAATCTTTTACCCTTTTACAACCAAACCATTTTAGAAGAGCACTCAGAAAATGTGGCAACAAATCCAGAGCCGACAGTAATCAAACCCACACCAACGAAAGTGCATCCTCCTTAAAGGCCGCTGAGTATAAAATGTCAGTTGTAACTTGTATATACTTTAAAATAAAACAAAAGCAAACGGTCTAGGGAAATCTCATAAATGAGACAAGTTGTTCAGACGGAAACACAGCAAGAGTAGTCATGGATTTAAAGGCCGGAGGGCACCCGCACGATCAAGTATAAATGCAGGTGTGAGAGAGAGAGGACTGGAGAGTTGCCACCTCAATCTGTGTGTCTCATTCACAGAACTTTCTGAAATACAGTTATCGAGCCTTTTTACAGGGAGTTCTGCTGGTTCACCTGTAGGGATTCACGCTGCTAAACCAAGTCCCTCTCTGGCACTTTGAAACCACCAACCACTTCTTGGCAGAAAGAAAGGCAATCTCCTCCCACATCATTTACAGCCTCAGAAACCCAATGAAGGGTCAGTTATGAGGAGGGTCCCCTCAGTGACAATGAGTTCATCTTTACGTGAATGATTCAAATGCTTAGGTTATCCCCCGAAGTGACCCGCTTCGTTTTCACTGACATCTGTTCTCTTTTGATCCCATCCATCACTGTAACTTTTGGGGTCCCATGGAGAACCCTTCTCACATGATTAACACCAGGGCCAAGCCAATCCTGCCTTTCACTGATAACCTGAGGTAGTTTGCTTACAGGAAGACTGGGGCCCATTATTTGCCACTCACTTTTTTTTTTTGCCACTCACTTTTAAGGAATACATTTTAATTTTCCTTCTGAACAAAAGAGATAGTGATATTCCATCCAGGTTTTAATTTGCCATTTTTATAGTGAAGCCTGTAGCAGGCTAAGTCAATCAAGGATCATAGTCTCAATCTGAGATGTCAACTTGTAAACAGGAATTTTCCAGGCCTTGATCAAATGGCAGTTCTTTACATCTGTTAATCACTGGTAACCTAAGTGAGCACCAGTGTTGATTCCTATTTACAGCTATTCTCAGTGGACTTGGTTTCTTACACTCCCACAAAGCACACTTCTAAATAAGAATCACTGAATGTAACCACAGATTTGAGCAAAGTAGTATATACACCTCTTTTAAAACTATTAAACTCTCCCATCTTCTCATAGGCTTTCTGGAGGCAAGCTATTTTGGAAGTGGACGTCACTCCTGCTTCCAACCTTGTTTTAGTCGGGGAATTCCACCAAACACTGTCCACCGTGGGTAACCATTAGCACATTTGACACATCAGTGTCACAGTGTTCAGCATCACAGCAACCACGAATTACCTCTGTACAGCAAATGGACAGACCAGTGCTATACCACTTAGAAGAATGTTTGACCAAAAGCAATTAAAACCAGGCCTGAGGGATGCAGATTATAAAAATTACAAAAACCAACAAATCAACACCCCAACCACAAATAAAAGCAATGCAACCAATTTTTACTCATTAAAAGACTTTAGCAAAAGATGAAGAGCTGAAACTAAAATATAATCTTTGAAAATCATGTAATGGGCAAGAATATAGTAACAAAAACACCACTACTACTTAGATGACTTAACAACAAAAAAGATAAATAGCCCTATTACAAAATGGGAATATTTCACCAAAGATGACATCCAAAGCTCACAAATACAGGAAAAGATGTTAGCATCATTTATTACCCTGCCAGCTACTGCCATCAGAGTAGAATTGTCCTGCAGACTTTCCAAGGGTGTAAATTGTTATGAAAGAAAGTAACACCATTATCTCTCCTGTGAGGAAGCTGGTGAGTTTGAACCACTAACTTTGAGGTTGACAGTCAAGTATTTTAATCACTATATCACCAATAATTATCAGAGATAGTCACATTAAATCAAAACGAGGTGCTATTATTCTCCCACTTAGAAGGCTAAAATTCAAAAACAAACACACAAATAAGAACAATACTCAGAAGATAACAAAAACACACAAACAAGAACAAACTCAGAAGATAACAAATGGTAAAGATTTTGGAAAATCTGAACCTTTGCCCATTGCTAATGGGAATGCAAAATGGTACAGATGTTTTAAAACAACAACAACAATAATAGTAACAGTAAAACATTATACAACATGGGGGAACCTTGAGGACATTATGCTAAGTGAAATATCTCAGTCACAAAGGACAAATACTGCATAACTGCTGTTCTAAAATAGGACAGACATGGGGGGACATTGGGAAGGGAATAAAGACTAATTAGATAATAAACACTGTATTAGAACAGATGAGTGGAAGCATTGTCTAAAAGGAATATATGAATATGCATTTTCATTGTTGTTGTTCAGTGCCGTCGAGTCGTAGACAACTTATAGCGACCCTATGAACGAAAGGCCTGAGCACTGTTCGTACATAGAGTTTCCAGAGGCAAGCCATTTTGGAAGTGGATGCCGCTCCTGCTTCCAGGCTTGTTTTAGTCGGGAAGCTCCAGCAAACACTGTCCACTATGGGTAACCATTATCACATTTGGCACATCAGTGTCACAGTGTTCAGCATCACAGCAACCACGAGGTACCTCTGGACAGCAACGCACAGATCAGTGCTATACCACCTAGAAGAATGTTTGACAGGAAAACAATTTGAACCCGGCCTGACGGCTGCAGATTAAAATCACCCACCTTTGGCTTGGTAGCACTGATTATGCATTATATGTATAAAAACACTCTGGAACCAGGCAGCATAGTGGGGGTGTGCTGGGGGAGGGGGAGAGTAGGAAAGGAGAGAATGTGCAACAATGAATAAATAAAAGAAAAAAAGGTAGTGGATACTAAAAAACCTAAAACTATCATGCATTCCATCAACTTCATTACTAGATCTATTTTTTTTTAAAAAAGTTTTAAAGCAAAGAATCACATGGAGCCTTGTATACTAGTGTTTACTGCAATACAAACAACAACAGTCAAAAGGTGGAAACAATCTAAAGACCTATTACAGATGCCCAGATAGACAAGCTGTGGTACATACACAAAGCAGAACACTCCTCAGTCAGTGGAAGAAATAAAGGCTTGATACATGCTACAGTAAAGACGGAGATTGAAGACATTAAGTCCGTCAGGGAAGGAAATACTGTATGACCTCATTGTAAAAAAAAAAAAAAAAAGGTAAGAAAAGGTCACTTTTCTGATATAGAGACCAGTTTGTTAGGGATTACCAGAGGTCAGAGAGGAAAAAGGAGAGGGTAGTTTAAGAGTGATAGGGGGAAAAGATCACAAAGAAAGGTTAGGGGTGCACAAATGAATACTGTAATTGCTGTCTGTAAGTTGTACACCTGTACAAGGTGGAACTGTGTGAGAGATGCATCTATACACCAACAACACAGACACTGAGGCTGCTGTCCACAAGCAGTCACCTCGTGGACTCTAGCTCTTTGGTTTAAAGGATTTGAGTTACCAGTTTTGTGGGACATCCTTGTAAACTGGCTTAATAATGTCTTTGGTGCTTCTGTTCTAGTTCACTGCCTAGCGTCCAGGGTTTTAAATGCTTAAAAGTAATGATTTAAAGCACAACAACTGGGCAGGTAACCTGGTGGTAAGGAGTTGGATTGCAAACCCAAAGGTGCATGGTCTGAATCCACCAGCCGCTCCATGGGCAAGCAAACTCCTCCGGTGCCATTTACTGCCTCAGAAAACCCACGGGAAGGTCACCTATGATGTGATTCGACTCAGTGGTACTAACAACAGCAGGAACATGCAAGTAATAGAGGAAGGAGAGTCAGGAGTAGGAGAAGGATGTAGAATATGAGGCTAACA